ACCTGGTACTCAGCAGAATTTTATTTGCAAGTACATTTGAAAGAAAAATATTATCTGACTTTATATACTTTTTTCTTTACATGGCTGAGCTTTTCCTTTTCAGTGTTCTCACCTTTCTAATTTTTCATGCAGTCAAGAAGTATTTTCCTAATATGTTTGATCATTTCCAGTATTTTAAGTTATTATGAAAATATTTGGGTAATATCTTAAATATATCATTCTGAAGTGGAATAGATACAGAAGGTTACAGCTGTAAGAAAGAAGCCCAAAGCATTCTCCAAAGGTGACTTCTGTGCTAACTTATTTAACATTAACATAAAAATTGAAACTTTACTATGGTAAAAACAAATTTTTTTTAATTTGTTGTTTAAAAAAAGGAAATCAAAACAATCTAGAGAACATAAGTCAAGGGTTATTTAATCTTTTACTAAGTCAGTTGGGGGGTGATTTGGAGAGCGGTTGATTGTGCTAGAGTGAGCAGGAATCCAGCAAAAAAGAGCTAATTGCTGTCTAATCATGCTTGCAATGGAACAAATACACTAGTAAGTATTACAGTTAAGCCAGGTATAATGGTTGGATTAAACACATTCTCTTATATCAGTGTTAGAACCAGTATATATTCAGCCTCATGATGGGAAAGAGTTGTAGTTATATCTATAGTTCCCTAATTTAGTTTTGCTTTTTGAAATCCATTTAAATTAAGATTGGGTTAAGTCAAAGATACTCTCCTTCTATCACTGTCTCTCATTGTGAAGTTTGTGTGGAACTCTATTAGTTTGCATTTCAAGAAGTATCTTTGCTTGTATAGTAAGAGAACCTAAAAAAAGAACTGTCTCCTGGTGTGTGCCCAACCAGAGCTTGGTGTTTAAAAACAACATGCTGTGCACTTGGGGCATGGAACCTTCCTTCACATATGGGTACAGCAATGTCTTTGGACATGTTTTCTGTGTAAGGGGAAAATTATCAGCATTTTGAGGAGTGACAAAATTTCCACTTGGTACCGGGATCTCTAGGACCATGGATATCAGAGATACATATCCATAAGCAAGTATTTCAGGTTGGCTATTTTGCGGAATTTTGTCCATGCATACTCAAAGTTCGCTTTGCATTCTTGAATCCTCAGGCTTTGTAACACTTTTGGTTAAAGGTAGTAAGGTAGTCAAATTGACCTGAAAATGCTGGAGAAGGTTTACCAAGGCTACTCACCTGGAAGGTTTATGAAGGAGCTAAATTGTAATGACAGCTGGATAAAAACAAATATTTCTAATGACTACTCAAGGTATAGCTGACAACTGTTTGGGGAACAAAACAACAAGAGAAAAAAAATGATCTGTTTATGCCGAAAGGGCTCCCTGAAGTAGATTTTGTCACCATCGTGAATGGGAAGACAAACATCCTCTGACCTGTTGTGTGTGCGAGTTCACTTGTCCTGCGCCATTACAAATCAGGCTTGCAAATGTGATGCATTAGTCCCAGGATGGAGAGCTCTTCTGCATACACCAAAGGCAGTGGACTTCCAGTGAACGTGCAAATATTCTGACTTTACACTTGTTTCTGTATGACTGAGAGTTGATCACATTGACAGGCTTGATTGCTTAAAAACAAGATGCCAACCTATTAGCAATGCTTTTATTTGCTTCATTTTAAATATTTAAGGAACTCAATAATTAAAGGAAATAATCTTCATTCTAGTTAGCAACTATATATGTAAGAGCAATCTGATTTACAAATGTACCAAGTTTAATAAAACTCATCTTGTTTTAAGTGATTTGAAAAGATGAGCCACTGCAGAACCATAGACTCAAAACCCAGTTTTTTGTTTTGTTTTGTTTTTTGTTTTTGCTTAGAAGGAAAGTAAGAGCTAGAGGAGTTATTCCAGTGTTCTGAAAAGGAGAGGACGAAAAAAGTCTAGAGTAGTGTAGCTTTTTATTGACTCACATTTTCTCGAGCAATAGCTTCTCCAAATTTCCTAACTCCTTCCTGAAAAAGCAGAGGACTCAAGGAAATACATTTCTTCCTATGTTTCATATGAAAAAATATTTATCATGGTTGATATGTGTTGTGAATTAGACTTGGAGGGAAAAGCAGTCATGGCAAACTTTATTTTCATGATGCTTAATTTGATGAATGTTACTTTATTAAGTGTTTATCACCAACTTACACTTGCAATAGGAATTCTACACTTTAATATGGTCTGCTCCTCAAGAATGCCTAGATTCTAGTCTAAATTATTTCACTAGCTATTTGTGTGGTTTTAAGCAGGCTAACTTTTAGCTCAGTTTTTTTTTAATGTATAAAATGTGGTTGTCCATGATAGGCTGTCTGTAAGATGACTTCTAAGTAGAAAGATTTGGTTCTAGGAATTTAGATCTAATTCAGGATAAAATGGGAATCTGTGCAAGATTTTTGAGTCCTGATATGATGAAAGTTCATCTTTTCAGTATTATTAAATAATTACATTGACTCTACAATGATTCTGGGCAATTAGTTAAACTTCTTACTGGAAAGAGCTGGAAGGATAGTTTCTTCACAAAAGCGGAACAATTTAATCCATCTTTGAGTAACAGTATCACTGCCCCTTTCAGTAAAGTTTTCTTTTAAAAGACATAATTTTGCTCTTAACTGGTAACTTTACACACCCCTGCTCTGGATACATCTAATGCATAAAGTAATGTCAACCTTTATCTGGGTAAGTCCTCTATTCTTTTAGAGACAAAGCCCTGACAAGGAAATAAGATCCATTAGGAGAGATTCATGTGACAGAACCAGAGAAAAGCTCTTTGTATTACTACAACAGGCAAAGGCAACTAGCAGCTCAGGCTGAGACATCAGATATGTAAATCAGGCCACTGCCAGATTCTATTGACTGAGTCAACCCAGCCGTCATGGCTGAGTCGTGCTGACTTCCAGGCTCAGGGATTATCTGAGGACATCTTCTCACCTTCTCTGCTTGGCTTTTGCGCTTTGTGTTTTATTTACATCAGTATCAGTTAGAGATCTAGGAAAGAGATGAAACTCAAATCGACCATTTTTTCTCCCTGCAACTTAGATAAATTACTTAGTTGAGAGGAAAATTTGAAATTTTTGACGTAAATTGTGATTTGGATTATTGGTGCATTTTAACTATTCATCTCGTTTGTTTTTTCTATAGCTACTAATAATTGAAAGCTGACTGCAGAAAATAGAATAAATTTATTATTCTCAATATAATAGAAGCTGTTGACATAGAGAAAATCAAATGCCCTTATGAAACAATTTCACATGAGCAATGATTTTATGTTCTGAGAGTATTAATGATGAAATATGTGAGGGCACAATTTGGGACTTTTATTACTAAAAGATTTCAGGTTATTTCTGAGGAATCTCAAAGAGAAGCTTATTTTGAGGTAAAATTATACTTGATTATCTCTTTTTGAGGTTTATTAGACAATGAGAAAAACAGAAAGAACTTATACTACGGGGTTAACAAATATTTACTTGGGGGCTTTTGAGAAGAACTTGAACTATAAGGTTTTGGAGTATGTTTTGATCCTAAATTTATTTTACCTCAAATAAGCATGTAATAAAGTTTTAACATTTGTTTTACTTTCTGATATTTGAGTATTATATTTCTATAGGGGTAATCCTGTTAAAAGCTTTATGCTTATTTTTCAGTACTTAATTTGAAAGAGAATTAAGAGCATACAAAATTACAGAAAAATGAGGAAGCCTAGAAGGAAAAAGAGTGGAGAAATCTAGAGACAAAAAGAGAGATGGGAGTTCAAAAAGATAATTACAAGTTTAAGAAGTGGTCAGTAATAAATAAAATGTTTTATTGCACACACATATGTGGGTAGTAGAGAGGGAGAAGAAATAAGTATCACAAAAGTAAAACAGGGGAACAAAATGATTATGTAAATGGATGGATGCATCTGGGAATACAAAGCTGAATAAGATTGAGTCCCTGCTCTACTGGAATTACAATTTACTGGAGAAGCAATAAGATGGAAGAATATAGCTAAAGAATAAATTATAAGATAGAAAATAAAAAATTCCATGAACAGATTAAAAAAGTAGAATGTTTTGGGAATATGGGGAGTGAGAAGGAGACAGAAGCAGAAATCAGGAAACTAGTAGAGAAGAGGGCACTGAAGTGAGCTTTGAGGCCTGTCAGGATTTTGATCAGGGGAGATGGCTTAAGAAGGCTTCCCTAACAGAAAAATGTGTGGGAGGAGGAACAAGTAGGGTGCGTTTAGAGAAGCGTGATTCATCCATGTCAAATGAGACTTAGGGGAACTGGAACACCAGAGCTCTAGGTTAGAAAAATTTTACTTCATTCAGTAAGCAAGGGAGAAAATGACAAAGCTGGGAATTAGTTAGTACTGTACTTTTGGATGATGTTTCTGGAAGTGGCATTTAGGAAGGAGTGAGATGGGAAGGACCAGAGCCTGCTGGTAGCCGACTTCAAACCCACCTTTGAGTGCTACACAGGGAGCTTTGAGAGAATTTGGAGAAGATAGAAGATACTTCATTTTTTTGGTGGGAGTGGGGTGGGGGAGAGACAGGGAGGATAAAATGGAGCAGATAATATTTTCAAAGGTGACTTTGCTGCCTCTGGAAGGATAAACAACCTATTCTTGTTCTCATTGCTATTATGTTCCAATACCACTTGCCTTGATATTGCAGTAATCTTTGGTGTTAAGGGAGTGGAATTAGGTATTTATGATTATGACCTGGGACATAAGGAATGTATGTACATTTATTTGACAGCTACTTATTTGGTGCCCACTGTGTGCCAAGCGTGTTACACAAAGGAGTAATCATAAGGAAGGTGACACTAGCCTCAGTGTTAGGATGAATGGGGGTTGGAACAGAGCTCATCCTTCCCATCCCATCTGTTGTGGTGAGACTATGGCTTCCTGTTACTGGAGGTATCACGTGGGTCTTTCTGTATGTCATCTTCCCAATGAGCCAGTTCAAGGATTCTGACAACCACCTTTTTGATGTTTGTTTTGTAACAGATGATTCAAGAGAGCCGGTTTCTCATAGAAATGGCAGACACAGTCCAGGAAAAGATTGTACAGTGTCAGAAAGCAGGTAACTATTTTTAATATTTTTTCTGTTTTTTTTTCTACTTTGTTTAGAAACTATAATAATTCTTGGTAGATTTTTTTTCAAAAACTTTCTGCTGCTTCTCTTAAAATTCAATTATTTTATGGCATTGCTTAACTATACTTTAAGTTACACTTTAGTCTTTGTTTAGTACAGACGAAATCCAAGTGATAATAGGTGGGTTGTATGTGAGTATACAGGGTTGGGGTGGTATCTGAAGATGTCTAGAGGGATGAGGGTTTCTGAATCTAGTTTTGTTGTTTGGAACCCCATCAAAATCTTCTACTGCTGGTATTGAAGCTATGGTTCCATACAATCCCTTAAAACCCACTTCAATTTTACAATTGGAACCAAAATCCTATTAGTCTTCTAGGCTTGTACCTCATTACTAGTCTTCACTTTAGATTTAGATTTGTTCTTTCTTTTTAAGTATGAGATGAGTCACATATCTGTGAGAGTGCACTTGTTTATTTCTGTTCACCTTCATCCACACCCTTGTGCTTTCATCTTCTGGATCTACAGCCTTCTCTATCCACACACATGATAATGATGATAATGATTATGACGAGGAAGACAACAGTAGCAACTGCTTGATACATATACATATGCTATACCAAGCACACACTGTTTTACTTATGACAACTCTGCAAAGTAATCATCATTATATCAGATTTATAGATGAGGCACCTGAGATTCTGAGAGACTGAGTGACTTACCCTAGGTCCCATATCAACACGTGGTGGAGCTGCCCTTTGAATTCAGACCAAACTTTTAAAATGGTGTTTTTCACTGACTGACCAGCAGGCTCAGATGTTTCTGTTGACAGGAAGCACAAAAATAATAATACCTGATACTTACATGATGCCAGGTACTGCTCTGAGATCTTTATATGTATTGATTCACTTAAACTTTACCTCAATCCCATGAGGTAAACCCACTTGTTAACCACATGTCACCAGTGAGGAAATTGAAGCCCAGAGATGTCAGGGTCTTCCCTAGGCTCACACAGATAGTAAGTGGTAGAGCTGGACTCCACACTCATGTTCTTTACTATGCACTATGCTTGTGATGTTAGCACCAGGAAAGTTAACGTGGTCTTAGGCTGCATTAATAAAAATATAAAAACTAGAACAAAGAGAATGGTGGTAGATCCCTGACCTCATGTGGGCTTCTCCAAGCTTTTGAGTATAGTGTTCACTCCTGGAGGCAGGTTCCCACAGAGCTCAGCTTCAGGAAACTGGGCAATGCAGTGGCCTTGCTTGGATGCCATCCTTAAAGAAGAGTTTCATTGGTAAGCTGAATATGTTCGAATGGTTAACCTAGAGAAGACTTGAAGGGATTTTACCCAATATCTTTCTTCAAATATCCAAAAGCTTGCACTGTAGAAAAGAGTTTAGAGCTTTTTGGTCTGCATCCTGCTAGCACCAAGGAGTAGAAGTTCCAGGGAAGGAGAAGTTGTTCCAGGGAAGCTATGACTCGATATCAGTTATAGCTTTCCGAAGATGGAATGAGCTGTTCATAAGAGAATGTGACTTCCGTCTTTAAGGTGCTAAGACAAAGGCTGAAGAAACATGATGGTGATGGTTTTCATAATCTTCAAGCTCAAGTAGATGGTTGAGCTAAAAATACTTTAAGGTCATTCCCAAATCTGAAACACTTGGGTGTTTCCCAGAATGGTATTTTTTAAAAAGTCTTTTTATTTTTAGTCAACATTGCTAATTACTTATTGTTATCTATGTGGGCTCCAGGGCCTACTATTAAGCCACAGGGATGGTTCATAAAGAAAAATAAGACATATGCATTCCTCACATATGGTTGCCATGGACACAACAGACCATTTCATGCATAAACCAGGAAGAGGACAAATAAGGTCGATGTAACCTGTTGGAATAATTTGCTTCTTACTTATTTACTTAATAATTTTTTTTTAATTTTTAATTTTTGTGGGTGCAGAGGTGTATATATTTTTAGGGTACATGAGGTGTTCTGATACAAGCATGTAATGTGTAACAATTATATCATGAAAAATGAGGTATCCATCCCCTCAAGCATTTCTCTTTTGTGTTACAAACATTCCAATTATAATGTTTTAGTTACTTTTAAAAGTACAATTAAATTATTATTGATTATAGTCATCCTATTGTATTATTAAATACTAGGTCTTATTCATTCTTCCTATTTTTTTGGACCCATGGAATTTACTTTTTTACTTCTCCTGACATTTTCTATGGCTCCTGGCTGTTTTAAATGCAATTTAGTCCAATGCATTGACTATTGTCAATTTGTGCATAAGGACACTACTTGGTGGGGTGAACAGAATGAAAAGGATGATTCAATTTAGGGATCTGGAAATTATGAGAAGACAGGAATGTGAAATTATATTTTACTGATAATATTTTCATTATAAGATGCCCATTTTTCTGAGATATATACTCAGATTTCTTATGCATTCTTTCTTCAAAGGGATGGAGTTCCATGAAGAACTTCATAATTTGGGGGCAAAAGAAGGCTTGAAGGGAAGAAAACTCAACAAAGCAACTGAGAGCTTTGCTTGGAACATTACAGTATTGAAGGTAGATGAAACATTCAGAAGTCCCCTCTGCCTTTGCTTTTCTCCTCCTCATCTCTCCAATGTTTAGAGAAATGTCAAGGATTAAATATGATGGTTTGGATTTTTTAACCTCTACTTTAGATTCAGGGTTACATGTGCAGGTTTGTTATATAGGTAAACTGCGTGTCACAGGGGGCTGCAGTACAGATTATTTCATCACCCAAGTAATAAGCATAGTATGCAGTAGGTAGTTTTTTGACCCTCTGTCTCCTCCCACCCTCCATTCTCAAGTAGGCCCTGGTGTCTGCTGTTCCTCTCTTTGTGTCCATGTGGTCTCATTGTTTAGTTCCCACTTACAAGTGAGAACATATGGTATTTGGTTTTCTGTTTCTACATTAGTTTGCTTAGGATAATGCCCTCCAGCTCCATCCATGTTGCTGCAAAGGACATGATCTTATTATTTTTTATGGCTGTGTAGTATTCTGTGGTGTATATGTACCACATTTTCTTTATCCAGTTCACTGTTGATGGACATGTAGGTTGGTTCCATGCTTTGCTATTGTGAATAGTGCTGTGACAAACAGACATGTCCATGTGTCTTTATGGTAGAAGGAATTATATTCCTTTGGGTATATACCCACTAATGGGATTGCTGGGGTCAAATGGTAATTCTGTTTTAAGTTCTTTGAGAAATTGTCACACTGCTTTCCACATGGTTGAATGAATTTACATTCTCACAAGCATTGTATAAACATTCACTTTTCTCCACAACCTTGCCAGTATGTGTTATTTTCTGACTTTTAGCTATTCTGACTGTGAGATGGTATCTCACTGTGGTTTTAATTTGCATTTCTCTAAGGATTAGTGATGTTGAACACCTTTTTATATGCTTGTTGGCTGCATGTGTGTCTTCTGCTGAAAAGTGTCTGTTCATGTCCTTTGCCTACTTTCTAATGGGGTTCTTTATTTTTTGCTTGTTAATTTAAGTTTCTTATAAATTCTGAATGTTAGACCTTCGTTGGATGCATAGTTTGCAAATACCTTCTCCCATTCTGTAGGTTGTTTTTTTGCTGTCTTGATAGTTTCTTTTGCTGTGCAGAAGTTATTTAATTAGGTCCCACTGTCAATTTTTGTTTTTGTTGCAATTGTTTTTGGTGTCTTTGTCATGAAATCTTTGTTAGGTCCTATGTCCAGAATGGTATTTCCTAGGTTATCTTCCAATTTCAATCTTCAGCACATGACTAGCTAGTTGTTCCAGCACCACTTATTGAATAGGAAGTCTTTTCTCTATTGCTTGTTGTTGTTGACTTTATTGACGATGACATGGTTGAGGTGTGCAGCATTATTTCTGGGCTCTCTATTCTATTCCATTGGTCTATGTATCTGTTTTTATACCAATACCATGCTGTTTTGATTACTGTAGCCTTGTAGTATTGTTTGAAGTTGGGTCATGTGATGCCTTAAGGAATGTGTGGCTTGATATCTAGGTTCATACTCTAGGAGATGGGGAGCTGCATGCTGGAACTGACATGGTTTTTGCCTTAATAAGGCAATGAGGTTTTTGGTGCAGACAGGGTACAGCCCATATGCGAGATTAATTTGCCTGGGGTGTGTGTGTGTGTGTGTGTGTGTGTGTGTGTGTGTGTTTACTCACATGAACACTTACGTTCAAGTTAATATGGCTGTTCTTATTTGTGGAAAGAATAATGACAAATGCTTCTGGGGAAGGTTCCAACACAAATGATTTCGAAGAGACAAAGTACAGAATATCTAGGGCCATTGAGGATTTTTATTTTAAGAACAGTTCCTATGAATACATTTCTTTTTGCAAATAGCTTTGGAAGTAATTTTCTTGAGAATATGATTTGCTGTCTGCTGCACATTAATTTTAGGATTTTGAAGTAAATATGGTACCTTTTATATTTTCTTACATGAAAAGAGAAATGATTTAGGCAGACGGAATATATTCTTTACAGCTAAATGGGAGAAAAATAGCTACAAAAATTAATAATTGCTGACATTTAAAGAACACTCATTTTGTGCTAGGTACTGTTTTATGAGGTTTATATGCATTAACAATTTAACACTCACACCACCTCAGTATTGTTATTAATCTCATTTTACAGGTGAGAAAACAGAGGCATTGCAAATCTGTATATATTTCCTTAGGCTGCTCAGCTAGTAAATGGTGGAACTAAAGTCTGAGCTCAGGTAGTCTGGCTCCAGACCCTATGTCTTTAACCTGTGCTGCAGAGATACTGCCCATGTTTATGTGAAAGTGTTAGGTTAACTGTAAAACATATTACAAATGTCTATTAAAAATTCAGTCCACAAGTGATAAGCCCCTACTATGCATTGGGCTCTGTGTTAGGCATTGGGGATACATGGAGATCACGAGATACAGACCCTGACCTCATGAAGTTAGCAGTCTGAGGCCGGTGGAGGAGGGGGATGGATAAGGCATCATTTGCTTAAGGAGCAGGGATGACCTAGAGCTGTAGTGTTAAAGAGGTGCTTATTATAACCCTAGATTATAATGTGGCAGTGTGAACCCTGATATAAACACTTTATATTCAGAAGATTTTATATGGGCTTGTTAATGTACCAATCACAGAAAGGTACTAGGGATTCAAATAACAAGAAGATTACCTGGGTCTCTAAGACTAGTCTATAAGGAGAGACAGACATGTAATAATGGCCATCGATTGTTCAGCACTTAATTTGTGATCAGCACTCAAGGCTAGGTACTTTATAGACATTTCCCCTTTCTTCCTTGCCACAACAGTGCGATCTTGCAACATGTCATGCTGACTCTGGTAGGACTCTCTCCATCTCACAAATGAGGAAATTGAGGCTTGTGGGGGGTTGAAGTTTCTTGCCTGGAGTCACACAGCTAGTAAATGGCCAGCCTGCAATTTTTAACTCATGCCCATGGTTCTATCCGCTACACTGTTCTGCCTCCTCTAAAATTCCATCCATGTGGCTGAGTCCCTGTATTAGTCTTTTCTCATGCTGCTAATAAAGACATATCTGATAATGGGTAATTTACAAGAGAAAGAGGTTTAATTGTCTCACAGTTCAGCATAGCTGAGAGGGCCACAGGAAACTTACAATCGTGGTGGAAGAGGAAGTAAACATATCCTTCTTCATATGGCAGCAGCAAGGAGAAGTGCTGAGCAAAAGGTGGAAGAGCCCCTTATAAAACCATCAGATCTTGTGAGAACTCACTCACTATTATGAGAATAGCATGAGGGTAACCTCCCTTATGATTTGATTACGTCCCACCGGGTCCCTCCCACAACACATGGGGATTGTGGGAACTACAATTCAAGATGACATTTGGGTGGGGACACAGCCAAACCATATCAGTCCCGTTGGGTCCAGGCAGCCTAGTGCAGAAATAAGAATGCAGGCCCCATGTGATTACCTGACAGTGGTGAGACTAGCCAAGTTATATAATCTCCCTCAGGGTGGTAATAATACCTACATCCCAGATTTTGTGAGAATTAAATGAGATAATACATACAAAAGATGTAAGTCACAATGCAGAAAACTAGACAGTATATATGTTGGCTGTTAGTTTTGTTTGTTTGCCAGGTGAGGATGAACATGGAGGAACCAGTTTTTGTTATTTTTGTTTCTTTGTTAACTTCTGACTTAAGGCCACTTAGTGTTGTCAGAGATTTGTTAATGTGTCTGGTTTAGTGACAGAAGCTTATTGCTAGATGTGAATGAGCAAATGCAGTTCAAATTATTCCAAGAGAAAGCTTTTCAGACAGAATTGATCTTCTATTATTATAACTCACATACTGGCTGCTGGTATTTCAGCTTGAGCACCAGAGTAGTGGACTACTACTCAACAACAGTAGAGAATATTTCCATACTTCCTATAGCTCCTTCTTCTCCTCCATTGAGTTTGGGGCCTGTTAATCTGGTGTCCTTTCCTCAAGAACTGGACAGATGACTTCCTCTGAGTTTGAATCATTAGCTGAGAGAAAAAGAACCTGGGCTCTGTTGAAGACTTTTTATTCCAGTGATGCTGCTCTAAGAAGACATCTTTTTCTATAAGATTCTTCCTTTAGTTCTTATGCCTTAGATCTGAAACACTTGGTTCCTACCTGATTCTCCAGCCTTGCTATTGATTTTCTGAGCTCCTCAAAGTCTTTTAATAAATACTCTTTGTTTATAAGTTTACTAGATTCAATTTACCCTTGCTTCCAGGTGGTTGAATGATTAATAATCATCCTGGAAAGACATAAAGACTGAATTAGGAGGCTGTGGCATGACTTACCTATACAATTCTGCATTGCCTACTGAAAAAGTTTCCTTATACATGATTTAGACTAGTATTCCCCACTATCTAGAGAGAGAGAGTGGGAATTAACCAATACTCGTTAAATATGTTGGTTTATATTTCTAACAAATATTTAATTCCAGTGTAATTTCCAATAAGTAAGGAAGGAGCTGGAAAAGAATGAGAAATGTGCCCTCAGCCAGTTGGGGGATTGACAGCATGGAGTGGTGCAAAGGGGCATAGGCTTTAGAGTAAATTGAGCTGAGACTGAAAAATAAATTGTTTAGTGTTTTCTGCAGTTCAATATTACATTTATCTGATATTAAAAATGACAGGGAAGCTGGAGAAAAAATTGCAGAAAGAAACATGACTAACTCTACAATATAATGAATAAGAATTATAATTACAGTGTCCAAATTGTTCCAGAGACCAGGACTTAGTATTTAGCAAGGAAACTGAAATCAAGGTGGTTCTGGAAGATCCCATACTTGTGTTTTTCTTTAATTCATATTCTAGCACCTACATGGGTCCAGTGTAGGGACTTGCTTAGCGTATCTTTTGCATTTTTCCACACTTTTGCCATATGTCTATATCCAACTGTAGCAGTCAATTTCCTCTTCCTTTCTTTCTTTTTCACTGTTGTACACAAAATTGGTCTCCTTACATAGCCACTGTATTTATTTAGGATGATAGGATGACTCAGTCCTCAGTACCTTTTCAAGACAATC